TCAGACTGCAGACTTTCTTTCCCATTATCTCAGCATTTCCAGACTGAAACATGACTGAACCTGCTGTGTATCGCCTTCATGTTCTGAGGGTGCAATTCCAAAAACCATTTAAGCAGCCACACTTCTATTTAAGATTTACATTGAAGATGGGCCACAACTGCAAAAGAATCCATACACATGTTATGCGTACAGGCAAGTGATGCCACAGCTAGTCCCCCTGCCATTTCTAAATATGCAGGAGTTTTAGTTGTTTAAGCTATAGAAGGGGACCTCTCTAAAGGGTAAACAGAAGAGAAGGTGGTCAAGAAAAATCAGCTACACCAACTTAAATCACCCCAAGGAATTAGCTGCTTGTGAAAAATTCCTTAAAATCTTTTAATGTCTATGGCTCAGTGAGAGGATACACTGTTATGGAACTACTCTGATCAGCAACTAGTACTCTCTTGGAGCCTTTGAAGTCCGCACATGAAATCCAGTTCACCTTCTCTCCATGTTCAATGCTCAGTTTTGGTAAGATTTTGGCATGCTCATTTGTAACCACTGCATTGGGCTTCCCATCTTTTCTGGTTGAAGCAGGTCCCCTGGTCTTCCTCCTGTGGATGGATTTCACAGGACTCTTCTGTTGCTTCCCAACTTCACTGTTGATATCCCACAGCAACACCTTCTCATCATTTCCACCACTCAGCAGCCAATAGGCTTCTGGCAGGAAAAGAACTTGTGATACTCCCAAACTGTGACCTTTAAATGCCAGCTCCTGTTCACATTTGACACCTGTTACCCTGAAGATCCTTATTTTACCATCTTCAGCGCCACAAACAAAGATATTGCCACATGCGGCCACAGACAGAGAATGGGCTAGTGGAGGGTTAAAGAACTGGCCAGCTGATTGCTGCTCTACCTCTTCTGCTTCACAATCCTGCAAGGTTGTGGTCCACAGTGGGCGAGCTTTCTGTAGGTTCCACAGCATAACCTTCAAATAAAATGAGAAGAATGACTTCTGTAGCCCCAACCTTGTTTCCCAATTTGATTGATAATACTAAAGCATCTAAAGGGAACTGAAAGTATCAAGATCTTTTCAGTAAGATTACACACTAAATTCCTCTTGCATGTCAGACTGCATTCAGATTGAACAGATCCTGCATCTCTTCCAAAACAGCTGGTGAAGTTCAGCTGCTAATTAAAACATCCTTAGCGTAAACAGAATTTTCTGCATCTAATGAAACAGTCTTGCTTTAGGATAACTAAACACTTTGCTCTTTAGGGTGTAAAAGTAATGAAGAAAACACTCATGCTTTAGTAATCATCTGGGGAGCAGCAGCCATGACACACTGAACATCTTGCTTGTAAACTGTGCAACTGAAAGATAAAGTTTAAATGGTGAGCAACAATAGGATTGAGAGTCATTTTAAAATTTTAATCCAGTCCGTGCTTACTTTCTTGGCTTTTGGTACCCTATTTAATTTGCTTTTCTCTCTGATGTGGGGATAATGCCTATTTCACAGGGGTGCTGATTTTTTGTACGGCACACTGAATATGTGGAATAATGGAAAAGAGCATTTCAATCTCACAGTACTTTACAAAATCCAGTAATAAACGTTTTCATATTAATTTCAGTGTGTTGAAGAAAAAACCAAATATCCCCATTTTGTTTACATCCTTTGTAGCTTTGCACTAGTGGATGAGAATTAAATGGAACTGACAATAGGTGCATGTAGCTTCACTAGGCAAGCTGAGTAAAAGACAGAGAAAACAAGTTATTTTTAAGTGGCATTAGATCCTTGAAGCACAACTTGTAAAACCACACACAAGGACTTTAGCTACATGGTTTCCATAATCAATCACACAGCGAACAACTCATATTTCACACACTGCTTACTGAAAGCATGAGGTGTTCTTAGTTTCTATACAGTCACTACCAAAACACTGTATTATGGTAACATGGTAAGGGATGATACCCCCAGGCAAGTGTGGTGTGAGATTTTTTTTTTTTTCTTTTTTTTTTCTTTTTTTTTAAGTGTGTTGCTTTTTTTTTTCTCTTTAAACACAGCACCACCAGAAAAAGCCCCATGGCAACAAATATGCTTCCACGTGAGAGCTCTGACTCCCTGCACAACCAGTAAGTATTCCCTATGAGCCTTCCAACAGAACTAATGCAATAGTTGGCTCTGGCTGCTGCTCTAATGTCTGCACATGGTATTTACTATTCTCAGTCTATCAGAACTGAAAGAATTAGACTCAATCTCTGTCTGATCACTGCATCATTGATGAACTGTCTTTATCAAACCCATTATTTTGTCATTAATAAACAGCACATCAATATCTATGAACTCCAATAGACAGAACTTCTACATTAGACTAGAAAAATAGTTCTCAACCTTTTTAGATTCAAGGCACCCCTACCTTGGCTTGTGGCACCCCTCATTAGGCTAGAGGCACCCCTTGTAAAATGCTGGCTCTTTTTGTTTTTTTTACTACCAAAAATACTGGGGCAATTCTTCCATTGGGAAGAACTCAGAAAACCACAGATCAGAATGTTTTTGACACTACAGGGTCCTATCTTGTGAATCATGGTTGAACACCCGTGTGTGGCATCCTGTTGCACCCTTGAAAGTATTTCAGGGCACCTTAGGCTGCTGTAACACCCCAAGTTGAGAATCACTGGACTAGAAATCTCAAACTGTGGTCCATGGGGGACTTAGTTGTTGCATGCTGCTCATTGCAATAAGCTAAAATGCACTGATACCCAAACTATATGTTTCCCTACGGCTGTTCTAAACTGCCATTTAATTTGCTTACCAAACTCAGCATAATGCAAATAAAATAGTTGTTCCCTTTTCCATGATAGCTATTGCTAATCTCAGGGATACTATTTGTTCAGGGATATCCTTAAAATAGACTTCTAAAATATGGGTTTGATCCTGAAAGCCCTGACCTCAAAGGGCAATCCTTTACATCAGTGGAATTTCCATCATGATACAACCACATTAAGATTGCTGAAGAACCAGAAATTACTCTTACCACCCTAGAGTAAGAGAGAGGAGTGAGGTAGAATGAATATCTAATTGCATACCATTCAGCCAGTATTTAAAAATCTAGCAATCATCCATCTACTCCCATACAAATCACCTTCATGTCTAGTCCACATGACACAAGACTTTGAGGCTTCTGAGGTCGAAATGCAACAGAGGAGCAGATATTTGAATGTCTCCTGAGGGACCGGCTGACTTTCTTGTTTTCCAAGTCTATAACCTTGATTGCCCCAGAATCATCAGCTGCAGCCAGGACACTGTCTGTGTCGTTCACAGAAAGGCAATTGATCTCTTCCTCATTTACGTGGAAGCATTCAATAGGCCCCTTAAGGCATCTGACATCCAGCAAGCTAATGGTTTCCCCATGAGATGTGTATAGCCTACTTGGGCAGGTGGGAGAGAATGCTACACAGGTGACATCATCTGCTTTCTGAAGCTGTATCTGTCCCAATGGAATCCCCTCCTCATTCCAGATAGCAAGCTCGCCTGCCTCTGCTCCTGAAGCTATCAGCCCTTCTTTGTTCACATTCAAGCACAGTATAGAAGAGGAATGTCCATCGGTCCACTTGACTGCCATGATGTTTCAAAGGATTCTGTGAAAGAAGGACAGAGTTAGGCAGTTTTTCCTATTTCAGTAGAAAGCTTATAAAGTATGTAAGACTACTGGGTTGCTGAGGAAATAACATGCAGCAGGTGAGCTGCTAGTCCAAGGTAAAATGGGCACTTGTGCAAGTTTGAGTGCAAGCACACCAGTCTGTATGCTTACAATACTGACTCCTTAGAACAGTGGAATGGTACATTGCTAGAAGTGCTTGTATGCAGATTGCTGAACTACGCCACCTTGTGCAACTATCCAGATTAGGGGTTGGCAACCTACAGCCCATGGGCCAGCTCCAGCCCAGAGCCATTTAATGTGTCCTGCAGATGTGGGGCTTCAGCAACATTCAGTTGGCAGGATGGCTCTGGCAGCAGTTGCTCTCCCCTGCCTTGGTGGGAAAAAAACAGTGGATGGGTCCTAGCAGTTGCTCCGCTCTGACCTGAACAGGGTCAGTCCAGGCCAGAGGAGGTGACAGCTACAGCTTGAAGCCTTAACCTAGTCCTTTGACTATACAGTCACTAGGTCACCAGTATCTAACTCACTGCAGTGTGACAGTCTTCACTATCTGGAACAAGAAGTGATTCAGGACGCAGATTGACTGTAATCAGATTTCTTTTCCTTCCTCTTTTTTTTAATCATCCTTGATCTACATGAGGGGTTGGCAACATTTTTGGGCCGAGTGGCAAAAATACCTGCAACCTTAACTTGGAAGATGTTGGCGTGCTTGTATGAATGGTGGGAGAGCTGCGAGGGGCCTGATCCTTATTGTGGCAGTGCAGCCCTTGCCCTGGGGCATGCGTGCCAAATAAAATGGCTTCATATGCCATATGGCACATGTGCCAGGGGTTGCCTACTCCTGAGCCACACCATCAGCTTCACCTGGTTTTGCAGAGAAGCCCCCTACTAGGGAAAGCTTAAATCAGGTGGCTTTGCAACTAACAATGTTGTCGGCAGTTCCCGGATGTGAGAACAACCACTACTACGGCTCATCAGTGGCTTGAGGATTGGACTCAAGACCCATCCACAGGCATCACCGGTCTTTCCGCAGGGGAGAACAGGTTGGGATTCCTCTCCTTTCCCTTCCTCCGCTCTCTCCTTTGCTTCAAGGCCGAGATGCTCTGCCAAGAAGCAGGCAGCCGCGCCACTGCGGCTGCGGACATCTGTGGGGTGGGTTGGCAGCTAGCTCCTCCCCACTCCCATTGGCCCAGGAGTGCTTGGGCAGGACAGGAGGCGCCACCTGCCCGCGGCAGGGCGGGGGGTTGCTGCCCACGGCCCCAGATACGGCGCTTCGATTCTTCCCAGCTCGGGGCCGGCGGCGTCGCGCGGAGGCTGCACAACGGGTGGGAACGAGCGTCGAAGCCCGCTGGGCGGCCCCGCCCCAGCACCTCCGGCCGGCCAAGGCCGCAGGGGGGCAGGAGCTGCGCGGGAAACACGAACTCGGCTCCAGCCTCTCCCCCGCGTGGGCTGCAGTCTCCTCGTCTCTGTCCATAAGGAACCCCCGCCCGCGCGGCCACGCCCCGGGGCACAGGCACAGGCACAGCCCAGCGGGCGGGGGGGGCCGGGCCGGCACAGCCGCGCAGACCGCAGCGGAGCCTTGGCTTTTCCCCTCCCCCCGCGGAGGTATCGGGTCCCCTACGCCGGACAACAAAAGTGGCGAATTACCTCCAACCGCACCAACAACTTGGCATCCTCACGTTTCTTCCGGCGCAGTTTGATAACGTAACCCGGGAAGGGGGGGGGCCTTTTCTCTCCCTTGCATCACCACCCGAGCGTTCCCTACTGCGCATGCGCGCCCGGCTTCTTCTGACAGCTGTGCCCTCAAGTAAAATGGCGGCCCGCAGCCTCACCTCCCTCCTCCCGCGCAAGCAATGACAGCGGGACCTGGGGCCGGGGGCAGGGGGAG